TCTCCTCTCTCTGTATATATATATATATATATATATATATATATATATATATATATATATATAAGGTGAAAAGTAGGAATTATTATTTCAGTAATATTCCATTTATGGGGGGAGTCATGACATTTTTCAGCCTGAACTAATCTTGCTTTGCCTTGTCATAAGAAGGTCAAATCGGAAGACTTACTGATCTTAACACAAAGCCATGAGGGTCTGCAAGTATGTATAAAAATATCTATTATCTAGTATTATTTAGGTGCAACAGATTTTAAAGTCTAAAGATAATCCCTTAAAAAAATTAACAGATGGCTGCAAGAATTAAAAAGTAAGTAGTCAGGTAAATTAATTAGATATGTTCATACTAGGCTCATCTTATTTATTAGTTTCTTTGATGTCATATTCTGTTTCTGATTCTGATTATTACCTTGCTGACTGTGAAGTTCTGCAGTTCCATCTTGGCCCACATATGCATCAATGTTTCCAGCAGTAGTAAACACCTTCAGGGCACCACTTGAGCTGTCTATGAAGCAGGAAAGACATCTTTAGTGCACTAAATGAGTGACTAAATAACCTACTGTCAATTCAGACAGATCACTTACCAATGACAATGTTTCCTGTTTTACTTTGTACAAGAGCTTCACCTGTAAAACAACAACAATGATACATGTCCTAACTGCACATCAGGTCTTGACAATGAGCCATTACCGTCTCCTCCCCTCACCGTGCACATGGCCAATCTGGATGTTCCCGGAGGAAGTGGACACTGATGTGCATTCACCATAAATGGCCTTCACTTTCAGATCCCCATGTTCTGTGGAGAGATTCATGGTGGTTCCCTGAATTTTCTTAATATCGACATTCTGGAGAGCAAAAACTGTGATTTAATAACAATTCACAGTATATGCAGTTATATAAATCATAAAAGTACTTACACTGTCCAAAGATGTGCTGATATCGACATTCCCATGTATGGTCTGAAGTCCAGTGATATTTCCTCCTGTGGACTGAACTTGAACCTCATGACCCTAAACAAAATCAATATTAAGACACATAATAATAATCCATATTATCATCACAAACAAATAATCAGGGGTTTGCAATCTTTTACTTAACAACAGAACCCTAAAAATTAGCAGTTAGGATGGGGATTCCCCATCCTACATTTTAAAAGGCATCTATATTTTTTCACGTATAAAGACCCAGTTTATACTGTTACAAATTGTTATAAATGTGTAAACTACTATTTAGAAAATATTTAGTTTCTATTACATCACTCACTACAGTAATGTTTAGTAACATACAGTATTTTTATGTTATTTTTAACATTTATTTTAATTATTTTTATTTCAATTAATTTATTCACTTTTCCAGGGGCCGCCTGGTACTCCCTTGCGGCCCCAGTTTGAAAACCCCTGCATTAAATGATTAAAAAACTAATGTGTCACCTTGACAGACTCTAGGACACAGTGCCCTCCTTCTGTATGAACGTGGAAGAGGTCACTCTCCATTTTCTGGATCTTCACATTGCCTGTGTCTTTAGTCTTGATGTGGAGATCTGCAGGAATGGACAGGGACTAAAAGGATGGACATGTATTTCTATGAATTTTAGTTATTAAAATTACACTTATTACATTAGTTTTACTTGCTGTAAATACAGTCTAGATAGTAAAAGCTTTTCATTTAAAAATGTAAATATAAATACATCAATGTTATTAATAAAATAAACCTGCAATATATTAATAATATAATAAAAGTACATGATTTATTATGATCTTTAAAAGCCTGAATACAGATCCTTACCACATTTAACAGGTGCTGTCAGTTCAACAGTGACATTGCTATCCACCTCATCTGCCAAAATCTGAAGTTCATTGCTTTGAACTTCATAATGAACATGAAATCCGTCCACATTAGGAGTTTGATTCGCATCTGTCACGTGCAAACTGATAAATGCCCGATCAGCCTCAGGGAAGGCATGTGGATCCAGTGATTTTATGGATATATTACAGCCTAAATTACATCTGACCTTTGTGAAAGGGTTAACTAATAACTCCCATTGTTTTATAGGTTTATTCGAGTCTTTAGGAGTTGCAGGAGCATCTGAAAAAGTTCGGAGAGCCTGAGAGATCCAAGCCCTGGTGAAGAGTCTGGAACATCCCTGCACTGAACCCACACGCACACCGTGACGTAAACGCTGTGTAATTACACAAGTAAACATCACTAAAGCCTCACTTAGAGTGCACTAAGACTAAACTACATAAGTACGGATTAGAGCAAAACGCTAAACGCTACTTGCATTAATAAACGCCGTGTAGAAATGTTTATATCACGAGGGCACGAGTGCAGCGCACAGCAAACCGGAACAGGCTCAAGCGCGAGAGGAATTATGGGAAGCTGACTGTGAAGTTCTGCAGTTCCATCTTGGCCCACATATGCATCAATGTTTCCAGCAGTAGTAAACACCTTCAGGGCACCACTTGAGCTGTCTATGAAGCAGGAAAGACATCTTTAGTGCACTAAATGAGTGACTAAATAACCTACTGTCAATTCAGACAGATCACTTACCAATGACAATGTTTCCTGTTTTACTTTGTACAAGAGCTTCACCTGTAAAACAACAACAATGATACATGTCCTAACTGCACATCAGGTCTTGACAATGAGCCATTACCGTCTCCTCCCCTCACCGTGCACATGGCCAATCTGGATGTTCCCGGAGGAAGTGGACACTGATGTGCATTCACCATAAATGGCCTTCACTTTCAGATCCCCATGTTCTGTGGAGAGATTCATGGTGGTTCCCTGAATTTTCTTAATATCGACATTCTGGAGAGCAAAAACTGTGATTTAATAACAATTCACAGTATATGCAGTTATATAAATCATAAAAGTACTTACACTGTCCAAAGATGTGCTGATATCGACATTCCCATGTATGGTCTGAAGTCCAGTGATATTTCCTCCTGTGGACTGAACTTGAACCTCATGACCCTAAACAAAATCAATATTAAGACACATAATAATAATCCATATTATCATCACAAACAAATAATCAGGGGTTTGCAATCTTTTACTTAACAACAGAACCCTAAAAATTAGCAGTTAGGATGGGGATTCCCCATCCTACATTTTAAAAGGCATCTATATTTTTTCACGTATAAAGACCCAGTTTATACTGTTACAAATTGTTATAAATGTGTAAACTACTATTTAGAAAATATTTAGTTTCTATTACATCACTCACTACAGCAATGTTTAGTAACATACAGTATTTTTATGTTATTTTTAACATTTATTTTAATTATTTTTATTTCAATTAATTTATTCACTTTTCCAGGGGCCGCCTGGTACTCCCTTGCGGCCCCAGTTTGAAAACCCCTGCATTAAATGATTAAAAAACTAATGTGTCACCTTGACAGACTCTAGGACACAGTGCCCTCCTTCTGTATGAACGTGGAAGAGGTCACTCTCCATTTTCTGGATCTTCACATTGCCTGTGTCTTTAGTCTTGATGTGGAGATCTGCAGGAATGGACAAGGATGGACAGGATGGACATGTATTTCTATGAATTTTAGTTATTAAAATTACACTTATTACATTAGTTTTAAATACAGTAAATACAGTCTAGATAGTAAAAGCTTTTCATTTAAAAATGTAAATATAAATACATCAATGTTATTAATAAAATAAACCTGCAATATATTAATATAATAAAAGTACATGATTTATTATGATCTTTAAAAGCCTGAATACAGATCCTTACCACATTTAACAGGTGCTGTCAGTTCAACAGTGACATTGCTATCCACCTCATCTGCCAAAATCTGAAGTTCATTGCTTTGAACTTCATAATGAACATGAAATCCGTCCACATTAGGAGTTTGATTCGCATCTGTCACGTGCAAACTGATAAATGCCCGATCAGCCTCAGGGAAGGCATGTGGATCCAGTGATTTTATGGATATATTACAGCCTAAATTACATCTGACCTTTGTGAAAGGGTTAACTAATAACTCCCATTGTTTTATAGGTTTATTCGAGTCTTTAGGAGTTGCAGGAGCATCTGAAAAAGTTCGGAGAGCCTGAGAGATCCAAGCCCTGGTGAAGAGTCTGGAACATCCCTGCACTGAACCCACACGCACACCGTGACGTAAACGCTGTGTAATTACACAAGTAAACATCACTAAAGCCTCACTTAGAGTGCACTAAGACTAAACTACATAAGTACGGATTAGAGCTAAACGCTACTTGCATTAATAAACGCCGTGTAGAAATGTTTATATCACGAGGGCACGAGTGCAGCTCACAGCAAACCGGAACAGGCTCAAGCGCGAGAGGAATTATGGGAAGTGAAGTCCATCAATCAACCTTAAAATAAAGTCCAGTCCGTCATACTGATCATAACAAGATGTATCATTCATTAATTAAAGTGTGACTGTCGCCTGCATGATCGAAGAAGGTTAAAAAAAGACTTACGTTTAAAAAAGGCATTTGTGGCTTAATTTGAATTAATAGCAACAACAAAAACAACAACAACCATAAATCGGCATAAAATTGTAGTTAACCGTTTAATTAGAGTCATAATTAATAATCTATTTTGATGACCCTAGTCGTCACATTTCAGAGACTTAATTTTGTTTTCATAATAACATATAATGTATATACAAGCATGAACTTTTGTGTTGCAAACTTTCCATGTCATTTTGAGCAAATTATATTTCTATACACTAACTCTGTCTGAAATATAACTCTTACATGACCTTTTTACATTTTCACATTTTTACATTATTGATTGCTTATTAAGCCTGTTTCTTATGGGAACTAAATTGTCTGGTCCCCAAAATTAGAAGCTGTTTTCGTGTTTTACTATCTTTGTGTGGACATTTTTGGTCCCCAAAATATTGGCAGAACGTGACCCAACCTGCAGCACTAGAGATGGAATGTACTATGTTGTAAGTAGCTCATAACTGTCATGTCATGATGATTTCAAACTCTCAGTGCTGGTCGTTTTGGAGCTGAGCAGACAGAACGTCATACTGGGGCGGATTTTCCGTCTGTTTTTCTAATAGCTGCGAGCGATAGGCTTATTATTCATGACACTACCTTCAATGAAGGCCCAAGGGAACTTATTTTTTACTGAAAGTGATTCATAATCCTGAAACAAAGGGCCACAGTCAAAAAGTGATCAAATTGCTCTCCTGGCATTGTTAGTTACACACGTCACGAATGCTATAACTCGTCCAGTAGGTGGCACTCTAGTCATTTCACATAAAGCGAGGCAGTGTTGCCAGACGTACGATAATTATCGTATTTGTACGATAATTTTGACCTCTGTACGATGTACGATCAATAATTTAAAAATCGCATAATGTACGATAATTTCATAATTTTATGACAATTCAAATGATGGTAGTTGTAGTCATAGGGCTTCTATATTCATACACGAAATCGGCTCATTACAGACACCCTAAATGCGCTCGTGCACACCTCAGAGTGTGTTAAGAACGCAGGAGGGTGCCCTGCTTTAAAGCCAACGAGCACAATGTTGCGGTCCATGACGGAAAGAACCCCCTTAACATCTGGCAACACACAGGCTTCCGATGACAGCGGCTCAGTTGTGGAGTTAACAGCTAAAGTCTGTCTACACTGGACGCGACAAAGTGAGTGTTAAAAATCATTTCAATACGTCATAAATAGAACAAGGCATCAGTTTACTGTCGGGTAAAAACCGTGTCGTGTCGTGTCGCATTCAGTGCAAACAGTCACTGATTATAATGGTTTCTATAGTATTTTGTCACACTGCTCGCGTCCAATGTAAACACGGTACGCCTAGTTTTCTATTGTGGTAATTTGCAGGTCATGTCAAAAAGTTGTTGATTTAGATAAATAGCCGTATTCTGTACATTTGTGTCGTGTACGATAATTTTCTTCCAAATACGATAATTTTGAGCTTCTGGTACGATACTTGAACATTTCCAATCTGGCAACACTGAAGCCAGTCACAGACTTATAGTAGCGCCTTTTGACAACAAATAACAGTGTGTCACATCCTCCTCCACATTAGCTTATGAATGAGTGTTGAGTTATGAGGAGGATTTAGTATTTGTCCTCTAGTTAGGATAGCCAAGTTCAGAATCTAATAAAGCAAGCTACATTGAGGCTACACATGGTTTTTGCATCGCAGGTCTACTTTTTGAATACATAATACACGTTAACCAAATTGTTCTTATAGCCATGCTGTAATAGCTACTCATCAACACTTTGCAGTAAAAAGTGTTAATATCTATGAAAGGATGCGTATTGTATGTGGTATCTGTAAATCATAATATTTCATTCATTTAGCTGCACTACTCTCTTTCAGACAGGTAGTGTTACCATTGTTTTCGAGAAGAGACAGTAAAGGAGGAAATTAAAAAGCCTGTCTAGACGCCAGTAGTTGAGGGTCGAGTCAAGAGCATCGAGGATAATCAGAAGGTCATGGTCAAAGTTCACACAGAGCCGATGAAATGGAGACTTCAGAGGACAACATTTGCTAGATACAGCACAAAGAAGAGAGTCTATTCATATATGACACACATAATAAAACTTTATTATCATGACTGGAACGACAGAAATATTGTCATTTGTACCATTTCTGAGTTTGATCTCCATATAGAAATCTCAAGAAGACAGTCTGACAGGCTCAAAGAAAAGAAAGGTTTTCATAAATGGTGAAACCTAAACCGCAATATAAAACAAATCAAGATTCAGTCTGCTTATTGATCATTTGTAACAATAACACTAGAACTTTACTCACATAGGGATAAAATGAAATGTTGATTGACCTCATTTAACTGGTATACCAAACTGTCTATATTGTACTGTGTTCATAGGCTATATATACATGTATCACACAGTAAGTCAGACAATTAGAGAGACAAACTATTTACATCATACAGTAGTCCGTTATGGCAAGTCACATTCATTGTCATCTTCACTACACAGAAACATACATACAGGCCTACACTGAATCGGTGTCTGCTGTTCACAAAGTCTCACGCATTCTATCTCTCTCTATATAGTATATTTTGTGTGTACATATGCAGATGTATATATAAACATTTGATATTTAATATATATATATATATATATTAATTGTATATTTATATACACACATTTATTTATACACATCTATCTATCTATCTATCTATCTATGTGTGTGTATATATAAATATATACTTTTAATAATTAAAATATATATTAAATATAAAAAGCATATATATACACATCTCTTTTATATATATATATATATATATTTATTATTATTTTTATTTTTTTGTGCACTCAATCAGTTGTCAAAATGTGAAAAAGCTGCACAGATTCCAGGTGGGCCTTGTATTATGTTCGCTTTGACACTAAACTTAAGAAGATTATATAAAAATATAGAAGAACTACGGAATAAATCTTGACAGTAAGATTGAAATGGCCAGGACAGAAAACAATCATCTGAACGTAAGTAAACAAAACAGAATCATTCATATCGGTCTGAATCAAGACGTACAGGCCTCACAAGAGCATTGACAGATTCAAAGTCCCTCAAAACATTGTCATATGTCACGTGAGTCCAGTGTTGTCCTGATAACTTCATTATGCTGCTCTCAGTTCATAGTATGAAGGCATGCACAACGTTTTATTACACTTTTCACAGAAAATAAATTGGTCAACGTACACTCAGGTTACGTCTGAGAACACAAGTTGAGACATCTTGAAGTCGTTTGAAAACATCTGCCAAAAGCATAAATGAATCAGATGGTCAGACTGCAAGAAGAATCAAAATGCAACCCTACAGATGAAACGTTAATGGGATGCCAACCTTTTTCACAATGGCAGTGGAGTCACAATCTCTGTCCCAGGAGATCAGGACCATCTCATGCTCGACTGAAGAACCTTAACTCCACAGGTCACAGCTCATCATAATCTATTTACAGCGATTAAGGGAGTGTTTGTGCCTTTTATGTCTTTCAGAGTGTCCTTGGGCCACTTTCCTCCTCCTTTAACGATGAAAGCCGCCCCTGGCAGTCAGTCCAGTGTCTTTCATGAACAGCAATGGCTTTTTTTGTTGTTCTCCTCTCCCTCCCTCTGTCTGGTGTCTTTGTCTCTCAGGTGCAGCAGTCACGGTCGAGGTTACTCTGAGAGGAGATCAGAGAGGGGTAGGGCGTCATCTTATCGATGTTGACGTAGGTGGTGTTAAGGAGGATGTAGTGCTCGCCGCTGAAGCTGGAGAAGATGGTGGCGATGCGGGACACTAGCTCTGAGAAGGTGGGCCGGCGCTCGGGTTTGGGGTGCCAGCACTCGATCATGACATTATATCTACAAAAAATTGAAAAAAATGTAAGGAAATCCTAAATTCATAAATTTTACTTTCTTAATAAAAGTTCTTGGTCTTATTGTGCAAGATTCATCTGCACACATTTTTCCAAGCCAAAAAAAGTTTTCAAAATTCATTAATTAATGTTCAAGGCACAAACAGATGTAAAATACTTTAGCATTAAGGGTTCATTTATACAATTAGCAAACAACATTAATAATGTTATATCCCACTTTGCACAATCCAATCAAATCCTACAGGATACAATCAAGCCCCGCCCTGCATTAATTTAAACAGAATATTTTTTCTATTTAAAAGGTGCATTTAAAAATGAGTCAAATAGTTATTCATTTATTGTTAAAATTAAACTAATATTTTAAACATGAATTAAATAGTTTTTAAATGTCTTTATTTGTCCACTTTATTTTATTTTTTTTAATTTTATGATTACATTTATTTATTTATTTTTTAAATGAAATAAATACAACATTGTTCAAAATCTGAGGTTTGAAAGTCTCTTAGGTTCACCAAGGCTGCATTTATTTGAACAAAAATAGAGTAAAAACAGTAGTATTGTGAAATATTATTACAATTTAAAGTACCTGTTTTCTTCTTATATATTTTTAAAATATAATAATTACTTTAAAATGACTCTGTTCAGTTTTTTTATATTTTGAAATGTAATTTATTTCTGTAATGCAAATCTGAATTTTCATCAGCCATTCAGTCTTCAGTGTCACATGATCCTTTAGAAATCATTCTAATATGCTGATTTGCTGCTCAAGAAACATTTCTTCTTATTATTAAGTGTTGAAAACAGTTGTGCTGCTTCATATTTTTGTGGAAAATGTCATTTTTCAACATTAGTAGTGTAGTTTTAAATATTTCTATTTATTTGTCAGTTAATTTTGATTCGTTTTGAGCTAAGAATCACAAGTGTAGTGTAAGTCATCCTACTTCTCCGTTT